TGAGTTAGTTAGTGAGTGAGTTAAATAGTGTTTACGTGCCGAGACAGCGACCAATCGGAGCAGGGCAACGGGGCTCGTCGCGCGCTCTGATTGGTCCCCTGGCCAAGGGGATTTCCGCGGCGTTTCTCTCAACCCGACCCGGACTCGCGCCGCTTCGGAAATCCCCGACGGTGACGTCACCGTGCGAACTTGCCCAGAGGGGTGGGAGGCGCTGCGGGGGGGGGACAAGGGGACAGGTGAGGGGGACAAGGGGACAGGTGAGGGGGACAAGGGGACAGGTGAGGAGACAAGGGGACAGGTGAGGGGGACAAGGGGACAGGTGAGGGGGACAAGGGGACAGGTGAGGGGGACAAGGAGACAGGTGAGTGGGACAAGGGGACAGGTGAGTGGGACAAGGGGACAGGTGAGGGGGACAAGGGGACAGGTGAGGGGGACAAGGGGACAGGTGAGGGGACAAGGGGACAGGTGAGTGGGACAAGGGGACAGGTGAGGGGGACAAGGGGACAGGTGAGTGGGACAAGGGGACAGGTGAGGGGGACAAGGGGACAGGTGAAGGGGACAAGGGGACAGGTGAGTGGGACAAGGGGACAGGTGAGGGGGACAAGGGGACAGGTGAAGGGGACAAGGGGACAGGTGAAGGGGACAGGTGAGGGGGACAAGGGGACAGGTGAAGGGGACAAAACCAGGGGTCGTGGTGATTGTTCACGAGTATCTATTAGTGGTGATTGTTCACATGTATCTATTAGTGGTGATTGTTCACGAGTATCTATTAGTGATGATTGTTCACGAGTATCTATTAGTGATGATTGTTCACGAGTATCTTTTAGTGGTGATTGTTCACGAGTATCTATTAGTGGTGATTGTTCACGAGTATCTATTAGTGATGATTGTTCACGAGTATATATTAGTGGTGATTGTTCACGAGTATCTATTAGTGGTGATTGTTCACGAGTATCTATTAAATTTTGATTTAAAGCTTTCGTGACTGCAGTAATTCATATTCTTAGTTTTTTCGGTAAAGTCACGTTGAAGAGAAACAACAAAATAACAAAATATATATAAAACTAAGAATATGAGTATCTATTAATGATGATTGTTCACGAGTATCTATTAGTGATGATTGTTCACGAGTATCTATTAGTGGTGATTGTTCCCGAGTATCTATTAGTGATGATTGTTCACGAGTATCTATTAGTGGTGATTGTTCACGAGTATCTATTAGTGATGATTGTTCACGAGTACCTATGAGTGATGATTGTTCACGATTATCTATTAGTGGTGATTGTTCACGAGTATCTATTAGTGATGATTGTTCACGAGTATCTGTTAGTGATGATTGTTCACGTGTCTCTATTAGTGCTGATTGTTCACGAGTATCTATTAATGGTGATTGTTCAGGTGTATCTATTAGTTTTGATTGTTCACGAGTATCTATTAGTGGTGATTGTTCACGAGTATCTGTTAGTGATGATTGTTCACGAGTATCTATTAGTGATGATTGTTCACAAGTATCTATTAGTGATGATTGTTCACGAGTATCTATTAGTGATGATTGTTCACGAGTATCTATTAGTGATGATTGTTCACGAGTATCTATTCGTGGTGATTGTTCACGAGTATCTATTAGTGATGATTGTTCACGTGTCTATTAGTGATGATTGTTCACGAGTATCTAATAGTCGTGATTGTTCACGAGTATCTATTCGTGGTGATTGTTCACGAGTATCTATTAGTGATGATTGTTCACGAGTATCTATTAGTGATGATTGTTCACGAGTATCTATTCGTGGTGATTGTTCACGAGTATCTATTAGTGGTGATTGTTCACGTGTCTATTAGTGGTGATTGTTCACGAGTATCTATTAGTGATGATTGTTCACGAGTATCTATTCGTGATGATTGTTCACGAGTATCTATTAGTCGTGATTGTTCACGAGTATCTATTAGTGATGATTGTTCACGAGTATCTATTAGTCGTGATTGTTCACGAGTATCTATTAGTGATGATTGTTCACGAGTATCTATTCGTGGTGATTGTTCACGAGTATCTATTAGTGATGATTGTTCACGTGTCTATTAGTGATGATTGTTCACGAGTATCTAATAGTCGTGATTGTTCACGAGTATCTATTCGTGGTGATTGTTCACGAGTATCTATTAGTGATGATTGTTCACGAGTATCTATTAGTGATGATTGTTCACGAGTATCTATTCGTGGTGATTGTTCACGAGTATCTATTAGTGGTGATTGTTCACGTGTCTATTAGTGGTGATTGTTCACGAGTATCTATTAGTGATGATTGTTCACGAGTATCTATTCGTGATGATTGTTCACGAGTATCTATTAGTCGTGATTGTTCACGAGTATCTATTAGTGATGATTGTTCACGAGTATCTATTAGTCGTGATTGTTCACGAGTAGTTTACTCGTGAACAGTCACGGAGTGTCGAGTCATTAATGAGTTTCACTGCCTATCAAAACATATCTTTTTTCGTTTCTGCGTAGTAAGTATTATTTTATAATTGCGTATGCCTCATAAGTACAGAAAGTGGCTATTGTTACTCCCCACAAACTTTACTTTTGTGACCAGGACAGTGATATTGTCAAATGTACCTATTGTTAATGAGAAGACGTGGTGTGTGTCTGTGTGTGTATCTGTGTGTGTGTCTGTGTGCATGTGTGTGTGTCTGTGTGTGTGTCTCAGTGTGTCTGTGTGTGTGTCTGTGTGTGTGTCTCTGTGTGTCTGTGTGTGTCTCAGTGTGTCTGTGTGTGTCTGTGTCTCTGTGTGTCTGTGTGTATGTGTCTGTGTGTGTCTCTGTGTGTCTCTCTGTGTGTCTCTGTGTCCCTGTGTGTGTGTCTGTGTGTGTGTGTCTCAGTGTGTGTGTGTCTGTGTGTCTCTGTGTGTGTGTCTGTGTGTGCGACAGGGATGTCCTCTGGCTCCCACATTATTTAACATCTATTTTGACCACGTAGTTCGTGAAGCCTTCAATAGCTGTACCGGGGGAATCTCCATATGGTACAGATATAATGGGAGGCTAATCGATGCCCGGGTGCGGTCAAGGGATGGCTCCCTATTGCTCAACCACGTTATGTATGCTGATGATTTGGTAATAGCTGCTCAGTCAGAGGAGGAGTTGGAGACGCTGCTGCTGAGACTGGAGCGTGCCACTAAGAGGTGGGGCCTTACCATCAGCCCCACCAAAACTAAGCACCTGCCTGGGTATTTTGTACCATCGGACACTCCACCCCCACAACTCCCAATCGGTGATGGGGCAGTTGTGGAGAGAGTGGAGAGTTTCCCATACCTGGGCAGTGTGCTTATGACTGGCTCCAGTTTAACAGCAGAGGTCTCACTCCGAATCAGTCGAGCGGCAATATCTTTTCATCGGTTGCGTAACGCTGTGTGGAAGCTACCTGGTCTGTCGCTCCGCACTAAGCTTCAGGTCTTCTCGGCCACGGTCATTCCCTCCCTTCTCTACGCTTGCGAAACGTGGACCCCCCTAATGGAACATCTTCGCCGGTTAGAAACATTTAGGCTGGCCTGCCTACGATCCATCCTGGGTTTAACCAGACTGGATTGTGTGAGGAGCTCACAAATCCTTGAAAGATCTGGGCAGGGTCCCATCGGTGAGCTCCTCCGGCAGGCAAGGCTGCGATGGCTGGGTCATGTAGCCCGCATGCCCAGCCACCGCATGCCGAAACAGCTTTTGTTTGGCCGGATTGAGGGGGCTAAGCGGGCGCGGCACGGGCTAGAGAAGAGATGGAGTGATGTGGTACAGGAGGACGTGGAGCTGAGTGGACTTGCCGATGACTGGTACCAGCGGTGTCAAGATCGGCCTCTGTGGAGGAGGCTCGTGAAGGATGCTACTGGGCAGTTGGAGGCAGTCGCCCTCCAACAACAACGGAGGGCGGAGGAGCGACGCTCACAACAGCGAGCGGAGCGCCGGGTGGCTAAAGCACAGCAGGTTGGCACAGTAGGGGGCACAGGTGGTGCATCAGCCAGTCATCTCAGTCAGTCGACCAGTGGCACCTGGGTCTGCCCCGTGACCTCCTGCCAGCGGGCGTTCGACACTTCACGTGGCCTCCATGTGCACATGGCCTGGCACAAGCGTCGTGGTGACGTTACCGCCACTTAGTGGCGAATGGCGGTTGTTGTTGTTGTATGTGTGTATCTCTGTGTGTCTCTGTGTGTGTATGTATGTGTGTCTGTGTCTCTGTGTGTCTCTGTGTGTGTATGTATGTGTGTGTCTCTCTGTGTGTCTGTGTTTGTCGTCCACACGAAGTCTCC